GTAGGGGTGAAAGAATGCAAGGATTTGTGGAAAGTTTCAAGGACAGATACATCGTCCCAGTTAGTATCTTCATACTGATCTTCAAGTGCATTAGCAAAATGTCAGGGTGTAAAAGGAAGCGTGCTGTGTTAAGTATTCAACAGAAACTTGAAATTATCAATCAGTTGGGAAAAAGAGGTGTAGTTACACAATTAGCAATGCAATAGAGTATTGGAGCACAAACTGTTCGAGATTCGAAAAAACAAAAGTGAGAATGAGGAAGAGGTAGACAGTGCTGCTCTTAATCATTTGGAATTCCTACTAGACTATCTAGAGAGTGAAGAGAACAGTTTATTAAGTGACAAGCTAATATTACGTAGGCTTCGTACGGATATCCGTAAAGAGGAAAATGCCGCAAAAAAGCAAACGACAATATTAAATTTTTTAAGTGTTAAGTGTTGGATGTTGTTGAACACTGTGATTGAAATAACTAATTCATATTTCAGTGTAAGGTAAAAAAAGTATTAAATAGGCCACGAGATGACATAAAAATGAGGTTGAATAAATTTAAATACAGGTAGGCCTATAGTATTATGAAGGTACAGTATTACAGTATTACTTTTAATAAAATTTGTCTTAACCGGGTTTTCGATTAATCATGATTTCCGTCCCCACCATATTTCCGGATAATCAAGAGTTGAGTGTAAAATGAATGAATAGCAGAGAAAAGAATGGAAAATGAATGGGACAGTACATCAGACATCAGTACATAAAGACTTCAAGAAATCCTATGACTCTGGATAGAAGTAATATTCAACTCTGTTAATGGACCTGACACACAGCTGAAACAAGTTAAGTTAGTTAAAATGTGTTGGATTTGAGGTTCTTGTGACAGTGACTATGACAAAATTGTCTTCTCCCAAAATTGTGGCCTACTTCTGCTGGTTTCTGACCTAGTTCACTCTTCAACATGGTAATTGACTTTTCTAGTCCATAAAAGACAGGACATTTTGAGTATCCCAGTAATTATATACATATCAAAACTTAGGAGCATGGAGTATGTTAGTTAGCTGATGACAGTGAAGAATTTTCACTTTTTGCCAAATATAAAAGGGAAGACAAATCTCCAAAACTTCCATAGCTCCAATATTAACTTATCACAACTTTATGTAATTGCCAATCTTTACACCACATATCAACGGTCATTTAAAACCAAGGTTCTCAAATTCTGTGATACAACAACCCCCAAAAGAGTACATAAAATTCCGTGCCCCCCATATTCGCGCGCACACACACACACACACACACACAAAAGGTAATATTTTCCTGACTGTAGCCACATTTTTCAAGGGCAACTATCTTACTGCCCTGCTGGCTTGTCAGACATGTTTGCGGATACAACTATAGTTTAAATAATTCTTGAGCACTCAGCAACTTCTTTTAAAATAGAGCACAACTCCTTTGGGGTCATGGCCCACAATATGAGAAACTATGAGTTATACTAGTCCATTCTTCTTTATTAAGCAAAATTTTAATGGATGAGTTTACGTGGAAATAACACATATGAGGACTATTTGGGAAGCAATCTCCGATGAGCTGTTAACAAAACAAGCAATGAGACAAACAACTTGTATTATAGTCACATACAGAAAAAGTACATAATACTTAAGATACTTCTCAATGTAGTCACCGCTGGAACTGAGGCACTTGTATCAAGAAATAAGTATCTGTATGCCTGTGTTTAAGAAGTCTGCTGCCTGTGAGCTCAGCCACAGTTTGTATTGCAACTGGAAGTTGTCTTACCACCCTCCTTACAGAATTGGTGGAGATCACAACACTTCAACAACAATGAGATGATAGGTGTCAAGAAAATGGCTGTGTTCACAGGTGGCAGACATCTTTGACATGGACATACAAAAACTTATTCCTTGATACGACAAGTGCCTGAATTCTGGAGGTGACTACGTTGAGAAGTAGCTTAAGTATGTATGTATTTTTTGTATATAATACGTTTTCTCTCATTGCTTTTTGTTAACAGATCACAGGATGTTACTTCCCGAATAGACCTCATATGATAAGATTTGTAACTAAATAAAGGATGAATTCAGAAATGCTAATAAGTGCCGAAAATGTTATAAGTATTTTCGCATAAAACAGTATTAAAATCTGTGAAAATAATTTATTTCAAGGCAACAGGCTAGTGTGGATTCAACAGTGCATTCCAGTTATTCACTCCTGCAATGTGAAAGCTCATTTTATAAACGAGAAAATAGGAACTGATAGTGAGATTGTGTCTGAGAGCAGGAGGTAACTTTTTCCGTCATTCGTATATTTATTAATGATGTGCACCAGAATTCACAACCTCAAATTTGGAATATTTCGACCATCACTGTTTAAATACGTTATTTCATTTGTTATAGCAACATACCAACTGGTGTGGGTTGTCTGTCAAAGGGGCATTGCACCGCATTGTCTCTCAGAGGAAGACGAAGCAAACAGGCATGGCATACTGTATGGCCACAATACAAAAGTCGAGGAACTTTATCGCCTTGAAGCCCAAAGACATCTTCACACACACGGCATTCCAGTACCTGCCGACAGTACAACAATTCTTTGTATATCCTTTCTTCACTGTCATTCACGCTACAAGAGCTGTCGTAAGTACGTCTCTCTACTCACATTAGCTTTACTATTTGGTTTAACAGGTCGAAAGAATGTATATGAATTAAAGTGGTCTATTTCACCCGCCATCTTCCTCTTCAATTTCCTACTAACTGCACAAGAGCTAACAAACTTCCTGACCTTCCTGACATATTGGCTGCTTTCAATAATCAGCTAATAGACTATCACGGAGTGGACACTATGTTAACTCAAATCAACTATCCGTGATCCTGTAACTCTGTGAACCAACTCCCGCCACGAGAAATTAAAACAAATACAAAATCAGCAAATAGACTATCACGGAGTAGCAAACAGGTACATGAAAATGGACTATACATGGCACTATAACTTTACGAACCAATGATTGTCTAGAGAAATAAAAATCCGTGCAGCACGTACCGTGCTAGCCACCAAATGCGCGTAATTTTCAACCTACTTCTGGCATGATGCTCTGGAGGGAAATTCAAACATTCGGAGTGAACGCAATAAGCCATAGGCTGCATTTGGCTCATGTAAATGCACTATGCGTCTACAGTATTGAAGTGTATTACTATCCTGTACTACTTTTACGGAGAATAACCTATTATTGCCCTTAGAAATGATGATTTTCTGTTTAACATCATCTTCCAGGGCTAATCCATTCTTCTTTTAAAACATTTTGCTTGGTAAAGTTACACTAATATCTGCCAACCAAAAAACTTTTTCCTTAGAATGTGAATACAATTGGTGCTTAATTTTTTGTCAGCACCTCCATTTGCCATGTGATTTTTTAATTACCATCCTAAGAAAGCCATCATTATAAGCATTTATTCACCAGTTATTTTTAATAGCTCTGAGTTACGTACATTGACCTTATTTGTTCCTCTGCTCAGCCATTATTGTCTAATGAAAACAATATGAACCATCAATCGCATCAAATATCACACTCCTCTCCATCCCTTTCCTCATACCAAAATGTGTCATTTCTGTTTACATATTACTCCATGATGAATTGTGTCCAAACAATATTGTGTTCATGAACCAGTCAAAATTCTATTTATGGGGCATGATGAATGGCTTTTAAAAATAGGAACAGAATATAAACATGCTTAAAAAATTAGCAAAAATCACCCTTACCAAAGCAGGATTCAAATGACACTAATGCTCTTAACCATGAACCATTATTAACAATACAGGGATCTACAGCATGTTCAATTACTAGGAGAGAAGGTGCATCTTATTTCGCACAACTACAATATGTGGAAAGCATATCATAATGAATTTAATCCTCAAATCAATTCTAAACCACTATTATCTTTGGTTGGAAATACAATGGTTTATGTCTGTTCCAAGGACACCTTATAGCTTCTTAATTAACTGTTTGTACTTGAAGCAGTTTAACGAAGAACAAACTATTCTTCTTTACCACTTTCTCATTCTTTTCACCTGCAGACCTGCAACAAGTACTGTTATAAAACCATCAGCAGGGATTGAGAAATCTCAACATACATTTAAGGTTTTCAAGTTATTAGTACTTACTTACTTAATCATGGAGCTGAGCCCTTCTGGAGGAGCCGCCAATTCTGCAGCTACTCAAGAATTTCCTAGCATTTTATGGAACCTGAAGGTTCACTACCATGTTCACAAGAGCCCTCCACTGGTCTCTATCCTGAGCCAGAACAATCCAATCAATACCTTTCCATCCTATCTCTCTCTATTCTAATATTGTCAACCAACCTACTCCATGGTCTTCCCTGTGGTCTCTTTCCTTCTGGCTTTCCCACCAATATCCTATACGCATTCCTCATCTCCCCCATTCGTGCTACATGACCTGCCAACCTCATCCTCCTTGACTTAATCATTCTAATTATACTTGGAGATGACTAAAAGTTATTAAGCTCCTCATTATGCAGTTTTCTCCAGCCTCCTGTGACTTCATCTCTCTTCGGTCAAAATATTCTCCTCAGTCTATGTTCCTCCCTTAATGTCAGAGACCAAGTTTCACGCCCATACAGAACCACAGGCAAAATTAGTTTTGTATATTCTAATTTTTATGTTTTTGGACAGCAGATGAGAAGACAAAAGGTTCTGGACTGAATGGTAGCAAGCATTAAGAGTTCAATCGCCTCATCTGTTATCGTTGTTCCTAAATATCTGAACTGTGCCATATTTTCAAAACATCTGTTTCCTATTTTTATGTCATGAGTCTGCCCTGCATTTTGGTGATGAGACAGTAACATATACTTAATTTTCTGTGTTTATTTCTAGACCAACCTCTTTACTTGCGTCAATTAAAGTTTGTGTCTTTTTCTTTATGGCATCTACATTATCACCCAGTAGATTCACATCATCAGCGTAGACCAACAGCTGATGTGTCCCATTTAATTTCAGTCCCACCTGGTTTCCCTGGACCTTCCTAATCGCATATTCTAAGGCAAAGTTGAAAAGGAGTGGCAATAAAGCATCTCCTTGTTTTAGACCATTCTGAATAGGAAATTTATCAGACAAATGTTTACCTACAAGGACTTTACTATATGTTCCGTTTAAACACATTTTAATCAACGTAACTAGTTTCACAGATATCCCAAACTCTATTAGATTATTGTACAACGCTTCCTTCTTAACTGAATCATAAGCTTTCTTGAAGTCTATGAATAGCTGATGTACTGTCTCATCGTACTCAAGTTATTTGTACAAGTGGTGTAATTTTTATACATGATACATCTTGCACAGTCTCTTAACTAGATAACATTAACACAATATCCATTACAGAAATTATGAATTACCAAAATTATGAATAATGTTGGTTTGGTAGAATCAAAAGGAACAGAATTTATTGCATGCTACACAACTTTCATAGGCCTACGAAAAGGATGTAGTAGAACATTATGTAGAATAGGTTGTAATACAAATACTTGTTTCCAATATAAGTATAACATATAAGTATATGTATATGTAATATAAGTATAACATGTATTCCATGTTACATGTGAGTTCATGAAATGCAACTTTATACTAATCTGATCACTTAAGTTAGACAAAATTTCAATTAACAGCATTTACATTTATTTCAAATACTATTCGAGTAAAATTATAAAATACGATTAAGTGAAAGAGTTTTTGTTTTAAATATATCAAGAGCCCTACAAACAACTTCAGCAGTTGACACATCTTACCAGACAATTATCACTTGAAGGGCAGACACTGTACACTAAGAAGCCCCTGATATACCAAGTAGGGCTGTTAGTTTTCAAAAGGAAGGCCAGAATTTAGAACCAAGGTGAGTATGGAACAGTGTTTCAAGGTTATACTTTGACTCTGAGTCCCACCCAGCCTCCTATCCAAAGGGTACTGGGGGCTTTTTCCCCAGGGGGTAAAGCAGCAGGAGTTGACCACTCATCTCCATCTAGTGCCAAGGTCAAGAAAGGTGGAGCTATATCTCCACTCCCCCATGTGTCTTCAAGGCACAGGGCATCACTAATTAAGCATGGAGACACCTTTGCGTTACACACGATATTCAATTTTAAGTATTCTGAAGAATAAGCACACACGCAATGGACATGGTGAAAGAAACAAAGGCTACAAATGCAGGATGTGTTTCAGTTGGCATCAGTAGAGGTAACAGAATTCCAAACAGTGGAAGCACATTCAATCTTAGATATTACTGGAGTAATATATATATATATATATGAGAAAGTTATGCTGTGAACTAGACCTAGCAAGCTAAAGCACTGAGAAAAGATACAGGTAACATGATTACAGTTGCAGAAATGAAGTACAGAATCCAGAAATACTACCACGTAGCTAGTAGAGCGAATAATAATAATAATAACAACAACAACAATAATAATAATAATAATAATAATAATAATAACAATAACAATAAAGGTACAGCTATCCTTGTAACAGGCTGTGGAGGTCCATAGGTTTGTGAGATGTTGATGCTCTCACATTTCCTAGACATTTGGTTCACAGATGATGGTGAGGTTGTCTGCCTTAGGTAGGCCACACACCGGCATGCGTTAAGACATGTAACAGTCAAGATATGATGTGTGTGACATAACGCAAAGAAAGGAGCACAGCTGAAATGAATGAGATTATGAAAACTGCCACACACTGCTCTGAGTCATGATGCTGACATCAGCTTCATGCTGCAGACAAATGCAGCAAGACTCAGCGTGTTCCTTTTCTGTGCATCAAGACTCAGACATGAGTACTCAAGGAACGGCACCAGTGTATGTTATCAACATGAGTGAAGAGCAAATAAATATTAAAATAGTGCAGAGAGTTGAGAAATTCCTGGTAATATCTGATTATTCGTCCCCGGGCCACTCAAACATGGAGGAGGTTGATAAAGCTTGGCATGCAGTTTCAAAAGAAGTAAACATACATGTTAAATGAACTGATTAATTTTATTTTAATGAGGTAATGACTGAATTAAATATTATACACAATGAGCATAAGCTTGTTTCATACAAGTCTGCTCTCACTAACATGCTGAAGTGTACTTGTTCTGCCAATGAAGAGCTACATTTTGTTTCATAAAGTAAGAACACAAATGGTTCCTCATTTCAACAGCCTCAGTAGTTGCTCTTCTGCAGCAGGGCTGCAAGTTTTGGAATACAGATTCACAACTGCCTTTGTCATGGTCATCATCATCTTCACCTAGACTCTGCTTGTTAAATAAGCCGTCCTTTAACCTGATGAAATTATGGAGGACACAGATTGCCCGTATTATAGCATCTGTTTTATTTGGTTTACAGGCTATAGCCTTTTCAAGAATTCTGAACTTTGAGGCAAGCATGCCGAAAGCACACTCTACACTTTTTCGAGCTCTGCTAATTCTATAGTTGAAACTCCTTCTTTCATTTGTGAGTTCTCTGCGAGGATAGGGCCTCATAATGTGTCTCTGCAATGGAAATGCTTCATCACCCACGAAAAAATATGGAAATGGAGTACAGCCATCTTCATCTGCAGGAAGTTTCTTAGGGTCAGGTATATTCAGCGTTCCTTGCTGAAGATTCCTACCAAAAGCTGAGTTTAGCAGGACACCACCATCACTATTTCGACCATAATCACCAACATCTATGGAAATAAATAGTCCATCTGCATCAACTACAGCTAGTAGGACAATGGAGAAATAAGCACTTTTATTGGGGCACTGAATACGGATATGTTTTCCATCTATCGAGCCAGTGCAGTTCGGTATATTCCAGAGCTCCAAATATCTATCAGAAATAGTTCTCCACAACTCTTCTGATGGAACTGGCATAAATTCAGGCTGTAACACAGTCCATATTGCAGAACATACATCTTCCACAATTTTACCTATCGTTGTTTCACCTCTTTTAAACTGAAAGCTTAAGCATCTAAAGCTGTTTCCAGTAGCTAAGTACCTGAAAACATAAACATGCATTTTTATTACAGTTAACTCTTGCAAAGAAAAATGGAGGAGCTTCAGAAACTGCTGAGCCAGATATTTAAGACAGACTCCTGTCAGTGGTTCTGCTGCCACACCCAGGAAGCAACACTACCTAGCAAAATACTTGGCCTTTGTGACTCCATTTATGAAGTCATGAAAGTTGGGCAACATGTTTCTTATTTTAGGTGGGTGGAGGATTTTATAATTGAGTTACTTCTTTACTTGCTTTCATTATACTTTCTTACACAACCATCATTAATGAATTTTCAAAGTGAATGATTTAATTCTAGGCAGCTGGGATCTATGGAGATTCCTTCATTAACAGAGGAGATTTTCCCAACAGTAGAATGCCCTGTATCTCCCACCACCACAGAAATACAGAATGTGAGCGACCATGAAGAAATACAACAGCTACCTCCACCACGCAGAATTCGCAAAAAAAGGGAAAGATCCAAAGTGGATATTGATGAGGTTTTCACCTCATACCCAGAAACGAAAGCGAACAGGATACCTGTAGAAGAGCTCGACAATCCAGACCTTTGCTTTTTCAAAAGCCTTTTGTCAAATGTTGCCAAATGAACACCTGCCCAGAAGAGCGCATTCAAACTATTTCTTCAACAAAACTTACATGACATATTATACAGCTCAACCACTGATTTTCAAAATGTGAGTAATATGAATCAGGCTGGCCCTTCCACTTCCCTTTATCACTATTTAAATGTGAGTCAGTCCGGCTCTTCTTCAGGTTTTTGTACGCCATTGCCCTCCCCACGTGAGGGAAGTGTAGCTGGATGTTTTGAACCTAGTTATTAGATGTGAATTGCCACCATGTCATTGAAAACTGTAGCCTTTTCTAGGTTAACGTACTCAAAATTTTGGACAATTAAAATTAAATATTATAATAATATAATTACAATATTATTATCACAGTGAAACAATTCACTCAATTCTAATGAACATTTAAAATAAGTATGCACAATTTGGTGCACATGTATTGTGATTTCTTTCTTATACACGTAATTAATGCTAACACTTACCTTAATGTTATAAGTAACCGTTCATCAGCACTAATAGCTTTCCTATAATTTGTATCCTGCTTCCTCAATAGTGGCGAAACTCTCTGAAGAAGTTCCTTATAGGATTCTGGGGACATTCGATAATAAGACTGGAATTTCACAGGATCATTTAACAAGTCACGTGCTAAAACGTATGCACCACGTTGAGCACACGACTCATTAAAGTCACAAATCCACTTCCTTTTCTTTCTTCTGCGTAATTTAAGCCACATGTACATTAAAATATCTTCCTCACTGGACGTCATGTTATCAACTAGAGAAGATGTGCTAAGACACACACATGTGCTACTTTGGTGTGCAGACTCGAGTCTGAATCATGAATGAAGCGAGACTGTGTCTTTTGTCTCATGTCTTGAAACTTGTCTTCGACACAGCTGGTGTCCAGCCACCTTTTACCCCCAGGAAGATTTCTGGTACTCACTTCTGCTAGAGGCTGAGTCAACCACAGGTTCATGGAAGGATTAGGTCAACTGAAAAATCCAATGATATCGGGAATCAAATCATCGATCTTCCAGCTTGTAGCACAGTGCCCCAACCAAGTACTCTACCAAATGTCCCATAATAATGATGATGATGATACCACCACCAACAACAATAATAATAATAATAATAATTCAATTCTTTATTGTTTATGTGCTGAGTCAACAGCTACAAAGCCAATTACAGACACAGCACAGTGTAGATACAAGTAATTACATTATGAACAAACACAACATAAAGTCAAAAACAAATTACAGGAAAATACTGGAAGAAAAACATATTAATGCAGAGAAGTAAACAAACGAACAAATAAACGAAGATGAGGGGAGGTAACAAGAACTACATAACACAGAACATTGGGATTGTGAACAAATAATATTAACAATTTTAGGTTGTTGAATACAAATGTCATTCAGAGAAAAGGCTCCAATTGCAAATATGTCAAGATCTTTACCCAAAATTTTGGCAGCATACACGCACCGAGCAGATGGGCAGTGTTTATTACATGGACAAACACCAAATAATGAGAAATCCCTAAGATTGCTGGGAGGAACAAGAAAGCTAACATTTTCCAAAAGGGAGGTGCAGGATTAAGACCATGATAGACCAAAAAAAAAAAAAAGTGCATCAAGGTCATTTTTCCATTTATGTAAAGAATGCAGACTTAATTTCTCTAAGGCAACAGCATAAGTATATGGAACATGAGGGGAAAACAATAAAAACAGATGGACACAAACTTATGCTGAATGTGATCAAGCTTATTGACATCTGTGGATGTGATGACAGTCCAAACTTCTGAGGCATATTCCAACTTGGACCTTACTAAAGTAAAGTACAGTATATACAAACACTCCAGGGAGCAAAATCTGTAGGGTATGGAGTGTATAAGGCCTAAAAGCCTTATATATTCAGAAAATGCGTAATCAACATGACCGTGAAAAATGTAACTTTGAATCAAAGAAAACACCTAGGTCCTTAATACTGCTGGTGTGTGTAATGGTAGCATGACAAAGCTGATACTTGTAACTTAGAAAATTTGTTTTCCTGATGAATGACAACATACATTTTAGAAATATTAAGTCTCATGGATTGCACCAGTCACTCACAGAATTAATGTCAGATTGGAGTAAGTGGCAATCAAGTGGTGAGTTGATGAGGTGAAAAATTTTGAGATGGTCGGAAAAAAATTAGAAGTTTACCATAGTCAATAAAGTTGCACAGATCATTTATGAATACAATGAAAAGTCCCAGAATAAAGACTTGTGACACACTGCATGTTACTTGAAAAGGCAGGGACAGAGTGCCAGGAATGCGAACCCGAGACTGTCTATTGGTTAAGTAACTGCAAAGTCAGCTAACATAAGCAACAGAGAATCCAAAAGAGCTTAAGTTAAGCAAGAGCATATTATGAAGAACAAGGTCAAAAACATTTAAAAAATCAGTCTGACACTGACTGCAGACAACAGGAGTCAAATATCAAGAAATGTCATCAAACTTGTAACTGTAGATTTAGTTCTGGTGAAGCCATGTTGATTGGGATTAAATTTTGCATAATGCGAAACACCATCATGAATAATGAATTCAAACAATTTAGAGAAATTACTGAGAATATAAATGGGTCTGTAGTTGCTCACAGTGGCATGATCACCTCTTTCAAATATTGGTACAATAGAAGCTTCTTTCCTTGCAGCAGGCAAAAACTGCTTGGTCTGGCTCAAGTTAAATACATGTCTAAGAATAGGAACAAAAATACCTGAACAACCTTTTATGATAAAACCTGGGATATTGTCAAGTCCAAAAGATTTGGAAGGTATTATTCTCTTAATGGCTTTGCAGACATCCACATCAGAAATAGGGGTAAGGGATAAACATTCAGAAGGTTGTGAGGGAGGAGGAAAGTCCATACAGCAATGGTTATTACAACCAAATTGAAAGTGCTTTGCAAAAACATCAACAACTGCAGTGGGCTGTAGGTGTGTACCATCAGAATTTAGCTGAATGGAGCACAATCTAGGTTTTCTGAAAGTGGATACATATTTCCAGAAATGTTGGGGCTGTGACTTTAAATTGTTGTCAATTGATTTCAACCACCTAAGCCTGTTGGACTTGATGGTATTTTTAACGAGTTTTCAGTAAAAGACAAATATGTGGTAAAAGTAATCAGAAAGCTTCTTTTTAAAACGATGGTGGAAATAATTTTTCTTCAATATGTAATACCTTAAGGTATAGGAAAACCAAGGAGGGAATTTGGACTTGCAACTATAGCCACGAGGAACTGCTTGCTCCATGGCACCTCTGAGAGCAGCACTGAGGCTGGCAACTGCTACATCAACAGAAGAAGTTTCATACACACTTGACCAATCATACATAAATAGAATGCTATAAAACAAAGTGTAGTTGTCTGCTGTGAAAATTTGATAACTGAACTCACAATTTAAATTATTATTAACATGAGGCAAATAGACATCAATACTCAAAGGAGGGTGAAATGTATCAGGCCTGACCAATCCAGGGTCAGCAGGAACAGACTTCAGATCAGTGAAATTTGCAAAGCCTGTCAAGACTGTGTAAGTTCACTGTCCCATCTTATGCAAGACATGCCTCATCTATTAACCTGCAAATGAACACAAGGCTATTTACATACTGATGACCCAGTCATCAACAGGACGCAACCCACGTTAGGCCGTCCACTGGTTGCAACTCTTGCACTCGTTGTACATGGCTGGGATACATGCCAATCTCATGTACAAGTCGTCATACAAGTTTGTGGCCCATACCAAGAATAAAGCCAACTGCTTAGTGTAGATACTAAGTTTATTATACAAGACCTAAGATTTCCTTTTCTGGTACCTCTGTCTGTGGATGGGAACTACCCATCTCCCAAAGTGACCAATCCACATTAAAAAATGTGCATGTATTATGTACATGCAAGTTTGGGTTCCACATTCCATACTGCCTCACTGCTTTGCTGGTGTTACCAGTGCACTCTCTCAGAAGTAAATGTACCAAATCTGCCATGTTTGACAAAATTCTGACATCTCCATATCAGAACAGACTCACACAATACAAGGAGAAAAGATGACTTGTTCATAGTGCCATGTAATATGAATCTATACAAAAACAATTTCAATAATACTGGACTTCGTATGTTAAATCAGTTGCCACAATATATTAAAGAGATACCAGTACTTTACAAGTTTAAAAAGACTTTGAAAACATTCCTACTTGATCATTGTTTCTATAGTATAGACGAGTTTCTCTTGTTTGGGGACAAATCCTAGTTCTAAACACTTGTAAACATATATTTCAAGACTAATTAACTTGTAGATTTTAATATTAGTACATGTTATAGGAATGCCTACTGCCCTGTTCTGTATTTTTTTCTTACAGGAACGAGATCAAGGGTACCAGGGTATTTGTGCCGGAAATGAAGGATCGGGTCTTGAGGCGTAAAGTGATGTCGTGTGTTAAACGATTATATCAGCTCTATTATTACAACCATCATTTTATTATTATTCTTATTTATTGTATTGTAAAGTATTTGACTTGTCCTATATCATGTATAATGATCCATGGATATGAAGTAAATAAATAAATACTGCATGAAGAGGAGGACGTCATATGATGTAAAGGTCATCAAACATCTCACAACATATCTCCATATGAGGATATAATCCTATAAGAGGTTGGTGCAGACATGGACATCACTCATGAGATGTCCTGATCCTGCTTCATCCAACCTCTCATCAAACGGGTCAAATGTTGCAACCAAACATCTCCACAGTGAAGAGATTCTTGGTAAAACTGGAAGGCATTCTGGAACTCCAGTGTTACCTAGAGTAATATACCCTTCAAAGGAACATACTCATTTTTGGAATGTTCTGTATAGCATAAACTTCTGATTTGAGATTTGAGTTGTAAAAATATGGGGTATATCTTGTACAATATTTGTTCTTATTGTGTTAAAGAAAAAATGTACTCACATTATACATTGTGTTTTATGTAAGAGAGAAACACATCATAAAGCATTGTCACAATGTTGATATACATGACACGATACTTGGAGCTCAAGAAGTAGAAGTTTATAATCTGAGTTGGTGGCCAGACTAACCAGTCAACCTGCAAAATAAAATGCAAATGTACTCACTTACCCATGTAACCCAAACAAGAGTCAAAATCTGACACACGTGATTAAGCACAGATCTTAATCCTTTATGATTTGTAACACCATACATGATATGAAACACTAATAAGAAAACTCTGCAGTAAGCAGCACTGGGATGCAAAATTTTAATGCAGGGTATTTAAAAGTACTGAATGTACGTAGGTTAGTCAATAAGTAAGTTACAAATGGATATAGAACTTAAACAACTATGAGTACTGATTTGAAAAATGCTTTTATTTCTCAACATAATCTCCCAGTACATTGAGGCACTTGTCCCATTGTTTCACAAGCCCCTGAAAACCAGCAGCATAAAATTCTTTCGACTGCTGTCGGAACCAGGTGGTGACTGGGATGACAAAGGCATACTGCTCACTGCATTCCAACCACAAGAACAAACCATAAATGCCGACTCCTACTGTAACATCCTCAGGAAACTTTGTAAGGCCATTCAACGGAAGCAACCAGGACTCCTCACCAAAGGCGTGTTGCTCCTACATGACAATGCGCGTCCCCATACTGCCAAGACAAATGAGACGCTGTGAAATTTCAGGTGGGAGTTCTCGAGCATCCTCCGTATATCCCCACCCTTGCTCCAAGCGACTTACATTTGTTCGGCCCTCTTAAACATCATCTTTCAGCTGAACATTTTCCCGACGATGAAGCTGCAGAAAGGAAGGTCACTGCCTGGTTCCGACAGCAGCCCAAAGAAATTTATGCTGCTGGTTTTCAGGGGCTTGTGAAACGATGGGACCAGTGCCTCAAAGTACATGGAGATTGAGAAATAAAATAAAAGCATTTTTCAAATCAGTACTCTTATTCGTTTAAGTTCTATATCCATCTGTAACTTACTTACTGACTTACCTATGTACTACAACAAAAAAACCTGTGAAAATCCTATATCAGTGGAAAGATATTCCTGTCCTCTACATCAGTGTTGGCCAACCTAATACATCTCGAGGGCCAAATTTAGTTTATAGAACNTCGAAATTCTGTAGGAAAAATAAGCAGCATGGAGACTCATGTATCTATGTCAAAACAAATCTAGAAGCAAAGCCTTATAACTTGTTTGAAAACTTGAATCCAGGAGAACACTTTGAGGCTGGTATGATCGAACTTATCCAGTTTAATACAATTATTATCTGTGTATATAGAACTCAAAACAGTAATATTAATATATTTATTGCAACCATAGACACAATAATTAGTAAATTAATAAACAAAGGGAGGAGCATCATTATCGTAGGTGATTTCAACATAGATTTCCTAGGAAGAAGAGTAAATCTACAACTACAGACAATGTTAAACATATGGGTTGCAAGCAATAGTTGATGTCACAATGAGAATAGGACCTAGAAGTCAAACAGCAATAGATCAAGTAATATTTAACAAGGGCTTATGGGGATACAATCTTAAGGTGAATGAAACAGGATTTTCTGACCATAAAGCACAGATACTACAATACAGATGCAGTATAAGAATAAAAAGGGGCAAGTTAGACTAAAGGAAGAATTCAGAATAGCTAGATCTTACAGGGGAGAGAATGTACAGTACTTAAACTATCTACTAGAAAAAGAGACTTGGGAGCTTGCTTTTACGCAAAATTCAGCGAATGAGGCATACAATGAATTTTTAGGTACTTTATAGTATTATTACGATATAGCTAAGCCTAAAAACCGGGTAAACACTAAACAGCAGGAAAATAAATGGGTTACCTCAGGAATAAGGGTATCAGGAAATAGACTCAGGTTTCTTAATAGTCTAACGAAAGAAGGAAATATGCCAGAAGAATTTAAAGAATACTATTGTCATTACAAAAAAATATACAACAAAGTTATTAGTGAAGCGAGAAAATTAACTAACAACATGCAAATAAGAGCATCAGGGAATACATCAAAAGCCATTTGGGACCTAGTTAAGGAGGAACTAGGTAAACAGAAAAAAGCAACGAAGAATATCGAAAGAGAATGGAGTAAATATACAGGATCCAAAAGCTATAGCCAATGTCTTTAATGAATACTATACTAGTATTGCCCAAAAGATACTGAGTGGCAATCTATTATCAAAAACCAATGAAGTTAATGTGGCAGTCCTTCTC